ATGTGATAGGTAGGGTTTTAGTTGGGGGGGGGTAGGGGAGGAGGGGAGGAAGAGGGAACTGGAACTGACATGTAAAATAATGTCAAATAAAAAATGCAAAAAAAGAAAGAAAAAATTAAAAAAAATAATAATAAAGACATGTGCAGCCACCACCCGGTGTTCAACCCAGGACCACAGGCCTAGGGACAGCAGCATCCACAATGGGCGTGACCCGCCCACATGAATCTCTGATTAAGAAAACGTCCTACAGGCTTGCCTACAACACTGTCTTAGAGGCATTTTCTTAACTGACACTCCCTTCTCTCAGATGACTTTAGCCTGTGTCAAGTTGACCTAGAACTATCCAGCACAGACGATATGATACAAAACACACCACAGAGTTACCTTGTTTTTCTCTCAGGCCCACATGTACAGGAAGAAATGTCCCATAAATGTAGGAAAGGATACACCCTAAAACAATGATGGAGATTCCTCTCAAAGGTGAGGACCCTGGTTGGAAAGAACAGTCAGGGAATTTTAGGTTTGGTCTTTTTAGGTTTTGGGCAGGCAAGATGGCCCAGTGGGAGAAGGTGCTTGCTGCCAAGTCTGACAATTTGAGTTTCATCTCTGGAATCCACATGGTGGAAAAAGGGAACCTTCAAGTTGTCCTCTGACTGACACATGGAATGGCTATGCACACATATACACACATACAGACATCACACATATACACATATATACATACACACTACACATAAACACATATAAGCACACACACACACACACACCTAGAGATCCTTTCTCAAAAGACAGGGAAGAAGAATGAAGAAAACAATCTTCTCAGCCTTCCAATCTGGGATCCCACACTGAACCAAACCTGAGTCCTTACTCAACCGCAAGCCGGAACAACACCTGTGTGTTCTGCTGGGCGGTCTGTGTGCTAGAAACCTAAGTTTCCACAGGTCAGTCTGTGAATAAGACACCACCATAACTTTGGCCTACTGCCAAACTTGGAAGGCACTTTAACTCAATCAAGGAAAGACAAGATGGTTTCTAAGTGATTATCTGTGTGTGGGTATACACACACGTGTGTGTAGGCCAGGGGGCAATCCTGTGTGTCTCTTCCTCAATCAAGTTCTACTTAAAGAAGGAAGGAAGGAAGGAAGGAAGGAAGGAAGGAAGGAAGGAAGGAAGGAAGGAAGGACCACATGGGTGTTGGAGTGAACTCAGGTCCTCATGCTTGCCCAGGAAACCTTTTACGGGCCGAGTCATCTCCACAGCCCCATTGTTAGTAAACTCCTTTTGGGGAACTCTCCTAAGCTAGAGACTGAAGAGCCTATGCGGTATCCGTCATCTGGTAGCATTTGCAGAGCTGAGCGCTGCTCTGTGAGCTTGAGGAAAGCATGACCTAGCATGCCTGCCTGAGCCATCTAACCTAAAGTGAATGCTGCTGGGCTCTCAACTTTCCGCCGACCACAAGGAGCAGAGCTGACTGCTTTTTGCCAGGCATCTTCATCTCGCTAGGAAGGAGCACCACTGGCTTCCTGGGTTGACCAGAAGCTAAATACCTTTCATTCTCAAAACTGAGCAAGATTTGGCGGTAGGAAGCTTCCAGTACAGTAATGGCCAAACATTTCAGTGCAAACGAGGTATTTCAAATAGTGTTCAAAGACAGAGGTTCATACAAAGACATCAGTCTAAGTACTGAGACGAAATGACTGCGCAGTGTTCAGCCCAAAATGGGACATCCCCATCAGTCCCGTAGCCCAAAGGCTCAGGGGACATCACGGAAAATGGGGGTGGACAGAATGTAAAAGCTGTCAGATAGGGAGCAGTGCCATGCCACGCTGTGCTGTGAAAACATCTTTTTGTTCAATATGAATACGCATTACTCTCATCGGTTAACAAAGAGTTGAGGTTGACAGCCAGGCACGATTTCGGGAGGGCGGGAGCAGAGGAATGCTGGGAAGGAGCTGGGAGGAGATGTAGAGAGAAGCAAGACGAATGTGCCGAGCTAAACGAGGTACTGCCATGTGGCAGAGCATACGTAAGAAACATGGGTTAATTTCAAATGTAACAGACAGCCAGTATCAAGCCCCAGCTGTCAGTCGAGCACTCATAATTAATAATAAATCTCTGTGTGGCTATTTGGGAACTGGCCGACTGGACAGAAGAGACCACACCTACAATGCTGCCTATGTTCAAGATATATTGTTCACATATACAAAATAAACAAAGAGTAAGTACAAGATACTCTTTTTCGAAATAGTGAAAGAAAGCAAGACATGACTATTCTGTATTGCTTTGGAGGCTGTCCTGGAACTCGCTCTGTAGACCAGACTGGCCTCGAACTCAGAGATCCGCCTGCCTCTGCTTCCCAAGTACTGGAATTAAAGGCGTGCGCCACCAACGCCCGGCTTCCCCCAGGGTTTTTATAGAGCCCAGTCCCAGAGTTCCAACTTCATGATTCCAGATGCTTTTCAGATTTTCAAATACTTTTCATATATGCTTTACTAAACAAATAGAGTTATCTCCCTATATATATTTCAATCTGTATGTTTTTAGACATTTTTGAATTCGAGAAAATGATGCCTTTTTTTTGGAATATGAAAAACCACACTGTGGTGTTTACAGCAATGCAGTTTACATTAAGTGGCACCACAATAGAACAGTTTTATAGGGATTTTCAGTCTCGGTTTGGTTTCGGTTTTTCCAGACAAGGTGTCTTTGATTAGCCCTTGCTGTCCTGGAACTCACTCTGTAGACCAGGCTGGCCTCAAAATCAGAAATCTACCTGCCTCTACCTCCCGAGTGCTGGGACTAAAGGTGCACACCACCACAATTTTATAGTTTTTAAACAGAAATTTTAAAAAAGGGAAAAATCTTCAGACTACAAAACTCCTCCCCCAAAACAATTTTTCAAAAAATCAATTTTTCTGGGCTGGAGAGATGGCTCAGGGGTTAAGAGCACCGACTGCTCTTCCAGAGGTCCTGAGTTCAATTCCCAGCAATCACATGGTGGCTCACCACCAGACAGATCTCAGACATCTCTGCTCAGTCACTTTAGGGACTGGGTCTTTCTTCCAGGACACCTTGGAAAGTTTTGAGCTGAGAGCCGACATGGCAAAAGCTGACGGGCGGAGAACTCTCTGGCATTCAGAAGAGAAAAAAGTAGAAGCAGAGGCCCAGAGTGGGAGATAAGGATGAAGGCCTGGTGTAGTGGTGTATACCTTTAGTCCCAGCATTCAGGAGGCAGAGACTCCATGAGTTCAAGGCTGTCTACATAGGGAGCTCCCGGTTAGCCAAGGCTACATACATAGTGAGACCCTGTCTCAAAGTCAAAGGAAACAGAGACAGGGGTCCCAGACCCAAGGTAGAGTACCTGGGCTCTGGCACGTTTCCTTGCCTTTCTGTCAAAAGGTTGTGAGCTCCTAGAGATCAAGAAATGTTTTCAGAGGCTGGAGAGGTGGCTCAGAGGTTAAGATCACTAGCTGCTCTTCCAGGGGTCCTGAGTTCAATTCCCGGCAACTACATGGTAGCTCACAACCGTCTGTGATGGGGTCTGGTGTTCTCTCCTGGCCTGCAGGCATACATGCAGACAGAACACTGCATACATAATAAATAATTAAAATAAAGAAATGTTTTCAAATTTAAAATTATTCCTAAAAAAAAGTAGTACGTGTGTGTGTGTGTGTGTGTGTGTGTGTGTGTGTGTGTATTATGTATGTGTGTGATATGTGCTCATGCGTGTCCAGTGCCTGTGCCCCTGCCATGACCAGCTTGCTGTGTAACGGCTTTCTTTATTGCTTTGAGACAGGGTTTCTCACTAAATTAGAAGTTCACCTTTTTGGCTAGGCTGATGGGCCAGAGAGCTCTAGAATGTATCTGCCACTGCCTGGAAATGCTCAGGTCTACAGGAACACACTTTCCTTCTTACACAAGTACTGGGGATTCAAAATCAGGTCCTCCTACATACAGAGCAATCACTCTGACCCACTGAGCCCTTGCCTCAACCCCCTAAGTGGGGCTTAGCCATAATGTATTTCTCCTGCACTGTGGACATCAAAGAAACCAGGTAGGAAGATGGCTGCATTTGTGATCATAAGAATCCTTCTAAAACAGGGTTTGGTGGTGCAGGTTTTTAATATCAGCACTCAGGGAAGAGAGGCAGGCAGATCTCTGTGAGTTCAAGGCCAGCCTGAACTACATAGTGAGTTCTAGGACAGTCAGGACTATCTAGACAGACCTTGTCTAAATAAATAAAGTCCTTTTGAGACAAGTGGAACAACAAAGGGGAGTCATCATTTCTTCAGCCAAGAAAGAACAGTTGCAATGAACAGGAAGAGAGGAAGAAGGGCCCTGGTAAGTTTGAAGCTCTCCCTGTAGCCCCATCACTCACCAGAGTATGAGGAAACAGCACCCCAGGGCAGGTCTCTTAAACTGAAAACTTTTCAGAGAAAACAAACATTATTAAGTGATGGAAAAAGTAAGACTATTACAGGAAGCAGAGAGAAAGCGTGAGGCTCACCTGAGACTTGGCTTTAAGTTTGGTCCCTGCAGGGGCAGCTTCCTGTTTGCAGTTAATCTCCTGGAGGAAGTTGGTATCTCTGGAAAGCAGCGCTGGGGAAAAGGAAAGACTAGACAGCCAAGTCCACACAAGACTACACCCAAGAGAGCAGGGTGGGACCATTTTGAAAAGATGAGATGAGATCCCGTTATTACCCTGGGCCTGGACGGGCAACAGGGTAGGATGGCAAGCGAGTAGCAGTTGTCTCTTTATTTCATGTGCGTGCGTTGCTTGCAGAGTGTACCACGTGCATGCCTTGTGCCCATGAAGTTCACAAGAGGGGGTTATAGCCCTGCTACTGGACTTAGGGATGGTTGTGAGCCATCACTCCAGTGCCCCCCCACTCCCCTCCTGGAAGGTTCAACTCTTGAAGCATGCAATGGGCAGGGAGACCAGTCTAAACTAAGGTGACCCTGGAGACGTCAACGCCCCCGCTCATTTAAGTTTATTTCATGCGTGTGTGTTGCTTGCAGAGTGTACCACGTGCATGCCTTGTGCCCATGAAGGTCAGAAGAGGGGGTTATAGCCCTGCAACTGGACTTAGGGATGGTTGGGAGCTATCTCTCCAGTCCTCCCTCCCCTCCTCCCCTCTTGCAGCCTCCACTGGG